GGTTTATGGGTTTGGGCCCCACATCGGGATCTGTGCTGACAGCTCAGAGCCTGGACCCTGCTTCAGATTCTGTGTCTCCCTCTCTCTCTGTTCCTCCCCCACTCATGCGCTGTTTCTCTCTGTCTCAAAAATAAATAAACATTAAAAAAAAATTTTTTTAAATAATAATATCATCAGGGAGCTATGAATTTACTATTCATCTGTTTTAGTATTTGGTTTAATAGCTGGGCCAATACACCATGGAAAGACACTATGTACATCAAGAGAATTACATATACCTATGCTTTTTATGTTTGATGTTCCAATTTGTTTAAACAGAAAAATCATCATCTTTTACCTTCATTTTCTTTTTTTGTTTTAATGTTTATTTACTTACTTTTAATCTTTATTTATTTTTGAGAGACAGAGAGAGACAGAGTGTGAGTGCGGGAGGGGCAGAGAGAAAGAAAGACACAGAATCTGAAGAGGCTCCAGGCTCTGAGCTGTCAGCACAGAGCCCCATGCGGGGCTCAAACTCACAAGCCATGAGATCATGACCTGAGCTGAAATCGGACGCTTAACCAACTGAGCCACCCAGGTGCCCCATCATTTACCTTCATTTTCTACAAAGGTTTGTTTTGGGGTTTTGGGGTTTTTTTGTTTGTTTGTTTAGATAGAAGTGCCTTTTTCAATGCTGACAGCTTCCAAGCAACTATGGAATGGTAAGAACTACATCATTTAATGAATATTCATATCAAAGAGATATTTATAACATTTTTCATGTCATTGCTCCTTTACCCTTTCCCAACACACACTTTGAGAACTACAATGAAATCTTGAAATCCTGAAGGAACTGCCTTCAATTCTAATTCCAGGCTTTAAAATACATTTTTAAACAGACCTTGAAATTAAAGAGGAAAAATTTTTAAATATTTGTGAGAGGCAATCACACCAGCAAATTCCACAAATAAATTAATGTAGGAAAAAATGTGAGAATTAAAAGTGGTATAATAATTTGCTTAAGTAAGGCAATGTAAGAATGGTAAATAAAATAATATTAATACAGAAATATAAGCTCTGTGGAGGTAGAGATTTTTGTCTTTTGTTTCTTGATATGTTCTTTGTTTCTAGAATCTTTTTTTAATGTTTATTTATTTTGAGAGAGAGGGAGAGAGCGAGAGAGGGACATGGGGAGGGCAGAGAGAGAGGGGGAGAGAAAATCCCAAGCAGGCTCCATGCTATCAGCACCAAGCCTGATGTGGGGCTCAATCTTGATCTCACAACCTCAAGATCATGACCCAAGCCAGTATCAAGAGTCAGATGCTTAATCAACTGAGACACCCAGGAGAATATTTAATAAAATATTTAATAAAATATTAAATGATATTCTAATATTTCTAGAATATTTAATGCAGAGGAGAAGTCCAAATGTTTATTGAATAAATGGATAAATACATCAATGCGTGTGATACAGAAAATCAATCATTTTTCTCCTAGTCATACAAAACACATCTATGATGCCATGTGCACTCAGGAACAACAATTGAGAATGTCAAAATGGTTCAGATTCCAGCACAATACACTCGATTCTCAATATCAAAGTGAAAAATATAAACTCTTGGTGTTCAAATATACACCATCTAACATGGAAAAGCCAGATATGTAAGTAGCTGTGGTCCAATGGGATAAGTGAAAAAATAATTATATGTAAGTATTATCAGTCACAGACTGGTTGAAAAAAGCTACAAATAAATGATAACATTTGAACATTATCTAAATAGATGAGTGAGTGGACAAACCCAAAGGAAAGGTACAGAAATGTAAAATTAACAGCACCTTTGGAGAACAAGCTGTGGATTTCAAACTTTCAAACCATAATCTGGAGCATGAAATACATATATAGTATACTTCAGTGAAACCAGTGAGTATTGAAATAAAACTCACCTTTACTCATTTCATGTACTTGAGATTTTCTATTTCTTCTTCTTTTTTTTTTTTTTTTAATGCTGGTAAAGATGTATTAAATCAATTTGAAGATCCATTCATTTGAAAGACATTGGGATTGAGCATCAAATGGATGTGGTGAGTAGACCACTGAAATAAAAACACAAAGAATGCTCTGTCAGCTGAGCTCCAACTCTCCTCCCATCCAGGTGGTTTGCTAGAGCTACACGACTTAGAGAAGAACGATGATCTATGCCCCTTTCCTACTTAAAACAACTCAGTGTGGTAGAAAAGATGAGTAAAGAAATCCCTCTCTATATCAAGCCAATGTGCAGGAGGGGAGAGAGCCACAGGCCATTTCTTCTCTAGTCTGGGCATAAAATGTAGAGCTTAACATTATTCTGTCTAGAAGGGTTAAGAGTGTTTGAAAATAAAGCAACTCTCACACTTGGGAGCATCCTAGATTCAATCTATATCTGGATTTATCTCAGCATTTATCAGAGTCAAATTGTCATACTACGAACTACAAAAAAAGCAAAACTCTTCTGCTTCCCTTATGAATAATTAACTATTTAACTATTTCCTATCTATTTCCACAATACTCTTCATTGAAGACTATTTCCTGAGCACTCTATATGCCAGGACCTGTGCTAGTGCTAGGAACTACAATAGGGGGGAAACAAAAGTCCAAGCCTCTTGGAGTTTATGTTTTACAAAAAAACAAATACAGAAATAAACTAATACATACAAATAATAAAAGCAGTAAACAATAGAAAATAAAGCAATAATCAGTATTAGAAAATAACATTTAAGGTAGCCAAAGAGGGTCTTTATCAGAAGGCAATATGTAAGCTGAGACCTAATGGAGGAGAAGAAGCCACTGAGGTTAAGTACTAACATGAAAAACAACGTTCCAAGCCTAGAAGAGCAGAAGTGAAGACCTGAGCCAGGAAAGAGAACATCTGGAGCCCAGTGAGTTGGGAAGGGTATCATGAGATGAGATTGGAAGTTATCTGAAGTTACTGGATTGTTTCAGGACCTAGAATGGGAAGTTACTGGAGAGTGACATGGTCTAATTTGGGTTTTGTAAAGCTCATTCTTATAGCTACGTGGACAATGGATTGGATACTGGTATGTTTAGAAGCTGAGCCATCTTTTAGGAGACTGATTTCCAGCAAAGCAAAGATGTAAGATTAGACTAGGGTGCTGGCAAGGGAGAAGGAAAAAAAGATGGGCTCAAGATATATTTTGGAGGGAGAACCAATGAAAGTTATATTCAGAATTTTCTTAAAAGAGACTATAAGTAAGTGCACTGAAAATTGGTTGGAGGAGTCAGTGCATTTAAAAGGGGAAGGGAAGGATTTGGAGGAAGGAAAGGAGAGGTATGCACTAAGTAACAACCTAGAAGTCATACATTAAAGTGGTCACATTTAAAACTCTAATCCCCTGGCTTGCTCTGTGCCTCTATTTAAAACAACAACAAACAAGCTATCAAACTGGGCAGAAATATAGAAGAGCTGCTTTGAGGACTTGTGGTCTTAAGTGGTTGAGCCCAGGCCATTGAAAAAAAGATAATTTTACCCAATGAAAATAATGAAGCAAGATTTAACTAAGATCATCTTAGAAACAGTGGCTGCACATTCAAATTCCCTGGGAAGCTTTTAAAACTATATGCCCAGGCTCCACTGAAATGGTTCTGTTTTGGTAACTTTGAGGTGGGACACAGGGATAGGTAATTCTTAAATGCTACACAGATGATTCTACTGAGCAGCAAGAAGTGAGAGCCCTGAGTTAGAAGTAGAGCCGAGGTTTGTCTGGTCAACAAACCTATTTCGTTAAATAAGAGATTAGTAGAAGGAAGTAAAGGTAAAGGAACTTTTTCCCCAGATGAGGCATATAGGCCCATTGTTTAGATAGACATGGCTTGAGACTACAAGAAAATAAAAGTCAATTTTCCTCAATGTGATTTTTTTGAAGCTGGGAGAAAATTTTATTCTATCAGTGTTAAAAATACAGACACTCATACAGAAATCACATTTTAAAGCTATTTTATTGCTACTATGAACAACACAGAGGGAAGAAATTAATAGCTGATAGGTGACTGAAAGAAAAACAGAAGAGGGAGAGTATCAATCTTGTCCAGACAAAATATCACACAGAAAAAAACTGAGTTGCAGTGGAAAAGTGAGCATAAGGGAGGAAGGACTCAGTTATTTCTGAGGGAAAAAGTTTTAATTGGTTACCAGAATACAATTGGCAATAGGTTTCACTGTATCAAATCACCCTTGCTTTTCAACTGTTCTTCAGTCTGAACCCTTGCAAGATTTAAATTTTCAATGAGCCACTGAATTACCAGAGCAAGACTGAGTTAAATAAGTATTCTCCTCAAATAGAGACCAGCAACATAATTCTCAGACTGCAATGAAGATTCCTTGTTGCTGGTGTGGGTGGGTAATTGAAGGCAAGAGTGGTCACACAATCCGTCTTAATCTTTTTAGTTAAGTTGTGCTCTCACCGGAATCAGAACCAAAGTTTTACACCGTGAGAGGTTTTCTTTGTTGTATTTACACCTTCTTTGCACCCTAACGCCATTGAAAACAGAAAAGAAAACGTGAGTGCAATTTTTAAATATCCACCTGGAGAACTTTAAGAGTAGTAATGGTCCAGGTGAGGTGGCAGTGTCTGAAGGGCGTCGCCCGGATGATTCGGTGGAATAAAATCAGACACTTGAGCAGACAAGACAAAGTTGAGCAGACAAGACAAACATGGATGTTTAGTCTTGTGCGCGTGTGGGCTTCAGGAAGGGAGTGAAAGCAAAAGGGAATTGAGCTAAGGAAAAGCGGCGTAGGTACAGGTTCGTAAAATCTGGGTATGGTGGGTGGGAAAAGGATTCCTGTACCTCCAAGGAGCAATTAAAAGAGCTGAGTAGAGCTCTGAGGCTTCTAGCTGGCACCTGTGCTGCGAACCCCCAGGAAGTGGGAGGCGCGGGCGCGCACTACAAGTCCCAGAAGCCCCCGCTTCCTGGAGGCCGCGAGGAGCGGCGCAACGCCCGCTGGGAGTCGGTCGGAGCCGCCAAGATGTCGCAGCCCAAGAAAAGAAAGCTTGAGTCGGGGGGCGGCGGCGAAGGAGGGGAGGGAGCTGAGGAGGAAGATGGCGGAGAGCAGGAGGCGGCCCTGCCGCGACCCCGGAGGGCTAGGCGGGAGCGGGACCAGCTGTACTACGAGTGCTACTCGGACATATCCGTCCACGAGGAGATGATTGCGGACCGCGTCCGCACGGATGCCTATCGCCTGGGCATCCTGCGGAACTGGTCAGCACTGCGGGGCAAGACTGTCCTGGACGTGGGCGCGGGCACCGGCATTCTTAGCATCTTCTGTGTGCAGGCCGGGGCCCGGCGCGTGTACGCGGTGGAGGCCAGCGCCATCTGGCAACAGGCCCGGGAGGTGGTGCGGCTCAACGGCCTGGAGGACCGGGTGCACGTCTTGCCGGGGCCAGTGGAGACGGTGGAGTTGCCGGAGCAGGTGGATGCCATCGTGAGCGAGTGGATGGGCTACGGACTCTTGCACGAGTCCATGCTGAGCTCTGTGCTCTACGCGCGGACCAAGTGGCTGAAGGAGGGCGGTCTTCTCCTGCCGGCTTCCGCCGAGCTCTTCGTGGCGCCCATCAGCGACCAGATGCTGGAGTTGCGCCTAGGCTTCTGGAGCCAGGTGAAGCAGCTCTATGGTGTGGACATGAGCTGCCTGGAGAGCTTCGCCACGCGCTGCCTTATGGGCCACTCGGAGATCGTGGTGCAGGGTTTGTCTGGGGAGGATGTACTGGCCCGGCCGCAGCGCTTTGCTCAGCTGGAGCTGGCCCGCACCGGCCTGGAGCAGGAGCTGGAGGCTGGGGTGGGCGGACGCTTCCGCTTCAGTTGCTACGGCTCGGCGCCCATGCACGGCTTTGCCATCTGGTTCCAGGTGACCTTCCCCGGAGGGGACTCGGAGAAACCGCTGGTGCTGTCCACTTCGCCTTTTCATCCGGTCACGCACTGGAAGCAGGCACTCCTCTACCTGAACGAACCTGTGCAAGTGGAACAAGATACGGACATTTCCGGAGAGATCACGCTGCTGCCCTCCCGGGATAACCACCGTCTCCTGCGCGTGCTGCTGCGCTACAAAGTAGGCGACCAGGAGGAGAAGACCAAAGACTTTGCCATGGAGGACTGATCGTTGCCTTTTCTCCCAACTACCTCCCGAATCTGCAGGACCCTCGTGGTAGAGGCGGAGGGGGGTTCGGAGGAGAAAGGGAGATTCCACGTGCAAGTAGGGGGCAATACCTTCTGTCTCCTTTTTCCCCCTTGGCTTCTGGGGAGGGAGAGTGACTTGCCTCTCTTCGAGGAGATTCTTCTGTCGATATTTATTTAAAAAGCAAATCCCGAGGCCCCCAACTTTGGAAACAGCTTGTTTATCAATGGGCTTTGTTGAGCCTTAAAAGCATGTGGTACCAAGCACTTGCATTTCTATTTCTTTTGTTACACGGGAAGAAAGCAAAAACACAGAAGAAAATATAAGTTTATGAAAGCTCCATGCACATCCCTGACACCTCACATTTAAATCTGTAGCCAGGGAGAACAGTAAAGGGTTTTGTTAGAGTACATAAATTTCCAATATGACTTAAATAGCTCTCCAGAGCCATATTCTATCATTCTCTGAATTCCCTCCTTTCCTAGGTGCCTCTAGGCTTCAGTACTTCTCCCTCATTGTTTTTTAAATAAACTTTGCTGCTGGTAATGAGAGGGAGGAGAAAGAGGAAGCAGTTTGAATAACCCTGTTCTTACACTTACTACTTCCATAGGGTGCTAAAAAGTTGAACACTTTTCTCCATTGAGTAAAATTGGCTGTATACAGTTGTGTGGCATACCCAAGAAACCTAGAAGGTAGATGTAGGAGAAAAGATCTGAAAGATGGTGACGTTAGTATGGATTTTTTAATTCTTATCTTTTAAGACTTAAACAAGGAAATGTTTTATTTCATATTTGTTACATAATAAAGTTTTGTGTGATTCTTACTAAACAGGCTGATAGAAGGTTTTTCTGAACCTGACCCAAGGGTTTATTCATCATTTGGGGTAAATTATTTAGCCTCTCTAAATGAAGGAAAATATTTTCCCAGCTGGAGAAGTGCACTCATTTAAACTCTCATCTAAAGAGATCATGTGATCTGGCCTACTTACATCAAGTGAAATTTCCTTTTTTAGAGGTTTTTTTTTTTTTTTCTTTCTTCTTTTTAGCTCAGCCAAATGTGAAAGTTGTGAATTTAGGAAAATCATTTGTAATGAAGTGTGAGTCATGTTATCAAATTTATTTCACGGATGTTTCCCTCCTTATCCCTGTGGCAAATAAAACATTGGCATTCATTCTATTTTTATAGATGAAGTAAGAAGTCTTGTGTACTGTGACTTATAATGCTTTTTGCCTTTTTAATATTGTCAATTCTTAAGCGTGTTACAACCCCTTCAGAATATAGTTTAAGGGTAATTTATGCTTGATGTATGTTTTTTCTTCATACTGGTAGCTTGTATGCTAATAGAAAACAGGTGTGAAAAAGTGGTCTTCTGAAATAATCTAACATAGTTTTTTGTTCATTGTAACCAAGTTTTCTCTTTTATTCATCGCATATTAAGGTACTAAAGTATTTAATTTGCTCAAATTTAGTGTTAACACATGAGATCTTCAGTTATGAAGGGAAACATACAAAATCATGACTTTATTAGATCCTTGAATAGCAAGCAACAGTAGTGATAGTTGTCACCATTTTGATAGTTAACAGTCTATATAAATGGAACAGTCATAGCAAGCTGGGCCTGATTTAAGCTGGAGATCTAATCTAGGTCCTTTTTTTTTAGGGTGAACAGCTTTTTTTAACTTGAACATGTATTTAGAATTTTATTGTATGGTTTTGAATAAATTTCTAATATTTTTTAACTTCCTATAACAATCCCGTTACTGTTTGGGCAAACAAAAGCATTCTCCCCGAATTCCATTTTTTTTAAATACAGTATATCTTTTATAAATCTATGTATACTATAGAGTTCTCATCACCAGTGTAAGCATGCAAAGAACACCAATTAAAACTTAGGGTAACCATAGAAGTGGAAATGATTTCATACTTAGGCAAAGTAAGCTGTAATATTCTTGTAACTGTTTCCCAAAAGAAAAATGAATTGTAATAAAAAATATATAGCTACTAAAGCAATTAGTGGAAAGGCAGCATAGCATAGGATTAAAAGCTAGGACTTGAACCAGACATATCCTGCTGGTATCTAGGCTCCACCACTCTTTAACCCTGTGAACTTGGGCAAAATACTTAACTTCTGTTCCTCTCCAGTGTTCTCCTGCAAAATGTAAAACAATCATGCATGCTCCATAGAAATGTGACACATGTGATACATGTGGTTAATACATGTAAGGATATAATGCCTGGTACACAGTAAGATCTTAGTGAATCCTAGCTGTTGTAATTACAGAAAAGTGCTATGCAAACCTGAAGCATTTGGACACCTATAAAATGTACCACAGAATAAATATTCAACATTTTGATTTTTTTTACAGGTGTTTGGCAGTATCAGCATGGCTTTGTATGATGAGCGATGTATGACTGGACACCAGATGATCCAAAGGAAGTCCAAGCCCTTTGGAGTGACAACATTTCCAGAAGGATGAGAATGTGACCTGCTCCAATACCCAGGCACTGTTCAGTCTCTGTGTGAACTGGCACTGATTGCCTAGGGTCATTTGGGCCACAGGAAGAACTGTCAGCCCTAAGAAGAGAAAGAAACGGTGAAGTTCTACCTGCTTTTTTCAGACAGCTTACATTTATTTAGCACTGTGAAACTTTGCAAATATTTACATTCACTGGACCAATGGACATTTTATTGAGAATAGCAAGTAACAGTCATTGTGAGAAGCACTTAGGATACAAACCAATAAAACATAGCTTTTGCTTCCAAATAGATGTGTTCATAGGATAAACCAGAAAGAAAAATACATAAATGATAACAGGCTAAAGACTTGGGATGGTGTAAGTGTTAGGAAAGGCAGGTCACTTTACATAGTAGGAAAAAGACTTTGTTACTGAAGGATGCCTATGGTTACATAGCTAATTCTTGACAGTTGAACACAAGTATTTCAGTTCCTACCCCCAAACAACCTCTTAATTTAAGAAGGTTCCATTGGGATATAAGTCATAGGTCCCAAAGAGCCACCATAGGATCTCAAGGTTGACAATTACTAATTTCTAGGGACTTGTGAAACATACCATGTACTCGTTTCCCTAAGAGGGCTAATCAAGTGTGGCATTCTTTCTGAAGCCTCCAGGAGAAAATTCTCAATGCAGTAGCAAAGAAAAGTAGATACATTCTGCCATTCTGGTTATAGGTACTTTGTGCTTGAGATCAGAGAGGCATCCAATGAGGTGTTCACTAATTTAATGATTTCATAAACACCAACTATCTAACAAGTTCTATGATAAATAAGCAAATGGTACCCTCAACTGGAATACAAGAGGGGAATAAAATCACCTAGACCAGTGATTTGCATACATTATTTAACCTGGAAGAATTCAATCCAGCTAAATCTTAACCTCTGCTGAAGCAAGAATGAGAAGCCAGCCCTTTTGTCAACTGTAACCTTAAAATTCCTCTCAAGTGCAGAATTCCTCTCTATGTTACTTATCACATAGATTATGAGGACCTCACAGAAAGATGTGATGTAAAGAGGAAGATGATATAATGAGACTATTCCTCAAAACATTGCATATGCATGTAGGATGAGACATTTGAAACAAAAAATCTGGATCTACCTAAGCACAAAATTGTAATAAAAAATGGGGCGCCTGGGTGGCGCAGTCGGTTAAGCGTCCGACTTCAGCCAGGTCACGATCTCGCGGTCCGTGAGTTCGAGCCCCGCGTCGGGCTCTGGGCTGATGGCTCAGAGCCTGGACCCTATTTCTGATTCTGTGTCTCCCTCTCTCTCTGCCCCTCCCCCGTTCATGCTCTGTCTCTCTCTGTCCCAAAAAAATAAATAAACGTTAAAAAAAAAAAAAAAAAAAAAAAAAAAAAAAAAAAACAAAGACATGACCAGTAACATTGGAATTGTGCTCCTCTGGGAGCTTTGATGATTAAGTTCATTATTTATAATAACTTGGAATAAAGACTGATGAATTTTTTAGTTGATTGGGTGGCTTTTTAACTTACAACAAATACAGAAAGCTGTAAGGAAGGAAAAAAATTCCTCCTTTGTTCATGCTGCCCCCTGCACAAAAAGGAAGGTGGGGTGGAGGTAAATCTTCCCCACACTTTTTTAAAGTGCTTTACCAGTGTTCTTGCAATCAGATGAAAGAGGTACTTGTGAAAACCTTCCCAGTCTGTAATATTTTGCACTAAAAATGGCGAACTTCAGGGAAAATTAGTTTGGGTGGACAATTAAAACTTATGTAACTTTGTAACCAAGAGTACTAAGAATTCCAATAAAGATAGCAGCAGTTAAAAAAAAAAAAAGATGCTAGTCCTAATAATACTGCAGTAAATAAGATAGTGTGATGGAAGAAAAAAAGGAAGAGTTACTGAGGAAGCAGAATGCACAAAAATGGATTGAAGGTGTAATAAACATTTCAGGACACAGCATGTGGCCAAACAGTGCCAAGAGGAAGAATATAGGGTGTGACAGGTTTTTGACTCGCATCAACTGTGTCCATATACCTTATGTCAGGTGGTTGTTGCCTGGTGAGAGGAGTCAACCGATTAACCAATGTCCGTCCACATTATGTTCTGACGTTGTTCCTCTACTTACCAATACCATTTGAGTTTATTCATTTATAGAAACATGCATGACAGTAGAACATTCTGTCCTTTGTTCTATTTCCAGAAATTAAACCAATTTGAAATTCCATTGGGTTTGTAGATCTTTTTTTTAACTTTTTTTTTTTTTTTAGTGTTTATTTTTGAGAGAGAGATAGAGTGTGAGCAGGCTCCAGCCTCCAGCTGTCCGCACAGAGCCCCATTGGATGTGGGGCTCATCTCAGGAACCCCACCCACCCAAGCTCTTGACCTGAGATGCTTAACAGACTGAGCCACCCAGATGCCCCATAGAGCTTTTCTTTTTAATGCAAATTGTCTTAAAAGGAAAATGGAAAGGAGGTGGGGAGGCTTACAGGTCACAAAACTATCC